AGGTTACGTTTTGTATATTCTTGCATAGCTCAGGTAAATCAGTTGCAGTATTTTTTTATTAATCTAGTGCTGTTTTGCAGAGTTTGCAATAGTTAAAATAACTTAATTATACTCAGATTGTTTCTTTATACTTCTTGTTTATTTATTTTTGGGCCATGCTTGGAAATGCCCGTTAATTATGCACTCAGGAACCATTTCTAGTGGTGCTCAGGGGACCAGTGGGATACCAAGGATCAAATCTGGGTCAGCCACGTGCAAGGCAAGTGCCTTACTCACTATACTATCTCTTCAGACCCATCAAATTGTTTCTTTTTATAGCAATAGCTTTGTAATAAATTTGCATTCTCAAAACAAGTCATATAGCATAACTCACTATTTCATTAAATTAGAATTTTTGTGTACATCTTTTGATATCAAGAGGTAATGCATCACGTTTCTTCAAAGTCACTTGAAAATTTTGATGCCCATGGAAGAGTACAAGGAGTACATATCTGTGAAGCCACAGCTTTAGTTTGAATTTCTCCCTCTTGCATACCACAGGCATGGCATTATTTTTTATTTTAATTTTACTGTTTCACCATAAGATATAGTTAGAAGCTTTCATGTCTGAGTTACAATCACACAGTGATCAAACACCCACTCCTCCACCAGTGCACATTCCCCACCACCCATATCCCCAGTATACCCCCATCTTTCCCACCCTCCCCCTGCCTCCATGGCAGACAGTATTCCCCATGCTCTCTCTCTACTTTTGGGCATTATGGTTTGCAATACAGACACCGAGAGGTTATCATGTTTGGTCCTTTATCTACTTTCGGCACACATCTCCCATCCTGAACGATTCCTCCAGCCATCATTTTCTTAATGATCCCTTCTCTATCCCAGCTGTCCTCTCCCCGCCTGCCTCTGAGGCAGGCTTCCAACTATGGAGTAGTCTTCCTGACCCTTCTATCTACTGTCCTTGGGCATCGGTCTAGTATTATGTTATTTTATACTCCACAAATGAGTGCAGTCCTACTATATCTGTCCCTCTCTTTCTGACTCATTTCACTTAGCATGATACTCTCCATGTCTATCCAGTTATAACAAATTTCATGACTTCATCTCTCCTAACAGCTGCATAGTATTCCATTGTGTAGATGTCCCAAAGTTTCTTTAACCAGTCGCCTGTTCTTGGGCACTTAGGTTGTTTCCAGATTTTGGCTATTGTGAATAGTGCTGCAATTAACATATAGGTACAGATGTCATTTTACTGTGCTTTTTTGCAGCCTCAGGATGTATTCCCAGAAGTGGTATTGCAGGGTCAGATGGAAGCTCAATTTCTACTTTTTGAAGGACTGTCCCTATTGTTTTCCAAAAAGGCTGGACCAGTCAGCATTCCCACCAACAGTGACAGAGTGTCCCTTTCTCCCCACATCCATGCCAGTCCTGGTTGCTTTTGTTCTTTTGAATGTGTGTCGGTCTCTGTGGTGTGAGATGACATCTCATTGTTGTTTTGATTTGCATCTTCCTGATGATTAGCAATGTGAAGCATTTTTTCATATTCTTTTTGGCCATTTGTATTTCTTTTTTGAGGAAGCTTCTGTTCATTTCTTCTCCCCATTTTTTGATGGGGTTGGAGGTTCTTTTCTGATATAATTCTGCTAGTGCCTTGTATATCCTGGATATTAATCCCTTATCAGATGGGTATTGGATAAATATTCTTTCCCATTCTGTTGACTGTCTCTGTATTTTGGTCACTTTCTTTTGAAGTGCGGATGCTTCTTAGTTTGATGTAGTCCCCTTCGTTTATGTTTGTTTTCACTTGTTTGGTCAGTGGTGTTTCATCCTTAAAGATGCTTTTAGCTTCAGTGTCATGGAGGGTTCTGCCTACATTTTCCTCTACGTACTTTATGAATTCACGTCTAATATTGAGGTCTTTAATTCACTTTGATCTGACTTTTGTGCCTGGCACTAAGCAGAGGTCAGAGTTCATTTTTTTGCAGGTAGCTATCTAGTTTTCCCAGCACCACTTCTTTTTTTTTTTTTTTTCCCTTTATTTTATTTTATTTTATTTTTTTTAAAAGGTAAAGGCCCTCCCGTTGATCGTCGATTTGCTCGAGCGGGCCCAGTAACGTCTCCATTGGAGTCTTTGTTGTTACTGTGTCTGGCATATCGAATACTCTCGGTAGCTTGCCGGGCTCTCCGAGAGGGGCAGAGGAATCGAACTCGGGTCGGCCATGTTGGCCGCTTGTAAGGCGAACGCCCTACCCGCTGTGCTATCGCTCCAGCCCAGCACCACTTCTTAAAGAGGCTTCCCTTGTTCCATTTCACTTTTCTTGCTCCTTTGTCAAAAATTAAGTGGTCATATATTTGGGAGTCTGTGACAGAATATGAACTCTGTTCCATTGGTCTGCGGTTCTGCTTCTAGCCCAATACCATGCTGTTTTATTTATTTATTTGTTTATTTTTACCATGCTGTTTTAATTACTACTGCTTTGTAGTATAATTTGAAGTTGGGGAAGGTAATGCCATCCATCTTCTTTTTCCCAAGGATTGATTTTAGCTATTTGTGGGGGTTTATTGTTCCATATGAATTTCAAGAGTGTTTTGTCTATGTCTTTGAAAAATGTCATGGGTATCCAGACAGGGACCGTATTAAATTTGTATAGTGCTTTGGGCCGTATAGGCATGGCATTATTCATTCAGCATATTATCAGGGGAGACACAAGGTGCTTTTTTAGGCCTAAATGTGGACAAATAATTATAATGTTTCATTATTTCAGTGTATGTCAAATATATACAAAAACAAGTTTTACAAATCTATTGTTTTAGAAGACTATTTCTAAATTAAAAGATTGTAGCCTAATTCTCTATAGGGAACCCCTTCCCCCTGCCAAAGAAAAGACTGTTGAGTGAGAAAATAGTATTTTACATGACTTACGTGAGAATATAATTTTACATGACTTACGTGATGAAAATAGTTTGTAGTTTGTGGAAGTTTGAAAAACAGTTGATTACAAGCAATAACAGTAAGCTTTATTTAAGAAATCCTGATATATAGTAATACACACACACACACACACACACACACACACACACAGAGAGAGACATCCATGTGCCAGGCAGGATTTCCAGCACTGTACAAATGTTACCCTACTCTGGTTTGAATAATGGTTCTTGAGTCTTGAGCCTAGTCTAAGGTAAACTACTTAAAAAATGTGTGTGTGTGTGTGTGTGTGTGTGTGTGTGTGTGTATGGAGAGAGAGAGGGGAGAGGGAGAGAGAGAGAGAGAGAGAGAGAGAGAGAGAGAGAGAGAGATATTTGTTTGGGGGCCAAACTGTGCTCAGGGCTCTGTGTTCAGGGATGAGTCCTGCTGGTGCTTCGGTGGACCATATGCAGTGGCAGGGATCAAACCAGGCTTGGCCACATATAAAACTTAACCTTTGTACTCTGCCTGACCCTATGGTAGGCTCTTAATCTTGGCTGCACAGTGGAACCACACAGGGAAGCTTATAAAGTCTGGATGCCCAGGTCATGCTCCAGCCAGTTAAATCAGAATTTCAGTAGGTGGCTCTCAAGCATCAGGATTTTTAAGGTCACTCCTGAGATTGTGCCAGTGAGTATCCAAGGTTGAAGACCACTGATCTAGGGCCGTTTAAAAATCTCTCCCAGAAAAGCCAAACCAATGATGCAAATGTTATTTGAAGTCCTATTTTGTGCCTTTGCTTGGAAGGAAGAGTGTGATGGAGAAAGGAACAAGACAAAAACCTCAGGGAAGCTCTAGCCAAGTCAGGCTACCAAACTGTAAACAGTTTTTTAAGGTCATGGTTGACAAGAGCTTCTACTTGAAAGTACCTTGAGAGTGTTTTGGGATTACAGAGAAGAAAAACTAAACTTAAAATCCCTGATGCCTAATTCAGAAAATTGTTAAACTTAAGTTACTTTAGCTTTCCTCAGGACTTGTATAAAGACCTTTGAAGTAAACCATTTAAGCAGTGCTCATGGTCATTGATTGTAGTATGCTTTATTTTTTTTTAAGTAAAAGTTTGCAGATTATGCTAAGTAAATCTTGGCTTATTTACATTTTAAAATGTAGAGTTAATCATGTTATTTTAAATTATATGTTTAATTGAAGGCATCTACTAAGCTACAATCCTAAAATGCTTAAGTGGATAAAAGATACCAAATAGTTTACTTGTTTCTGATGGTAACACTCTTCCTAGGCTCTAGGTTTATTTAGTATATATTCCCTTACTCTCTGAAAACCTGATTCTCCAGTGGGTAGATTTATTTTCAGTTAAACCTGTGTAGTCTGTACTTAATCATGAATTACTTCCTGGTTTGAAAAACAGGCATAGTTATTTGTGGTATTTTTGTCTTGCGCCTTTGGCATCTTTGTGGTGTGAACCGGAGCTGTGCCATCTGTAGTCAAGTGCGATTATTTTTTAAAAAGGGACTGAAATGATTCACTGGAAAATTTCAGCACAGATTCTTAAGGAATGGAAAGATAACCCTAGAAACATTCTTATTTGGTGTCGTATGCTGGTGGGTAGTGACAGAAAAAAAAAATAAAAGAAGGTACAACTTGTTTCTTAACATTCTGCTATTTTGAAAATTGGAGCAGTACTATGCTCGAAAGAATTCCATGCAGTATCAATCAGCATCGCTCTGCAGATGAATGAATAATTTCCCTCTCTCTGACTGCAGTTGGAGTCAGTGAGGTTGATTTCTAACATGTAAAACTCAATATGCTCAGTTTTATTATAACTATTTAATTTCTTTATGACTGTATGATAAACTTCTTATGCTGAGGTATTTCCTAAGCAGAGGGACTGTTCCTAGAATTCTAATAAGGCTGTGGAGCCTAGAAAAGCCATTTCTGAAAGCCCGTGAGTTTGACATAGCTTTTCTTAGCATGATGCATATTTTTAACCTCTGTGTTGATTTCCAGGCCTAATTCTAGGGTTCTGTTGGAGACTTGCCTGATCCATATCTTTCTGTGTTGTTTTCCTTTTCAGAAAGGAGACACAGCTCATCCAGCAAGCCTTCGTTGGCCGTTCCTCCCACTTCAGTATTTCCCCTCTTCCCCTCACTGTCCAAAAACAAAGGAGGCAGCAGCAGTGGGAGCAGCCGTTCTTCCAGCGGAGGGCCTCTGAGTTCACCCTCATTAAGTTCCAAGTTGTTGAAATCGCCCAAAGAGAAACTGCAGCCCAGGGGAAACACCAGGCCCATGCATCCCATTCATCAAAGTAGAGTCCCCCATGGTAGAATGTGAGTATAACCAGGAGGATTTTCAAAGCTCATCCACTGCAAGTGACACTGTGACTACCAGTAATATCTGAGAATAGAATAGATGAGCGCAATTAATAATAATATAAAAGGGGAAATTCAAATACATGTGGTTTCTGCTTATTTTCCTATTATCATTTACAAGACTTTACTGAGTAGTAACATCAGTAATTGTAAGGTTATTAATGCATATTTATTGATCTTTTATTCTGTGCCAGCAAGAGAAACGACTCTATGTATATCGTTCGTAATTTACTTATCAAAACTAGCCAATTTGAAATAGGCTTTCTTGTTGTCCCTGTTTTCCACAGAAGGAGAAGCAAGCTTAGTAAGGTTGAAGAGATTTAGCCAGAGGAACACTGAAGTCAAAACGTTAGAGGCCTGAGTTCAGATCCCACTGCTGTCACTTCCTAGCCCAGGGGTTTTGAATATGTTACTCTTTCTGAATAATAGCCACTATGCACAGTAATTGGGAGCAGTCAAGTTAATAAGTTGTTATTGATTCTATAAGAACCAATCACCCGGCACAGTGTCTGGCCTACAGTGGACAGGAAATGGATGGAAGCTGATACTTCTGTTGCTGCTGCTATTGATTATAGCAGGAATAAACTGAAGAGATTGCCACATATTGTTGGAAGATTTGCTGGGGCCTGCAAAGGAAATAGGGAAGCAGTCTTCTTTTTCCCAGTATTTGATTCACATCACATCAGTGATTGAGGAGGGATTGGAACAAGTCCATACCCACCAAGCAAAGCTTTGGCAAGCTTCCACATTGGATCAGTAGGTTGGCACACTCCTTGGTGGTCACATGAGAGACCAGCCGTGCACCCTTATACAAACATATTTTGCCTTGTCACGGCATCCCTCAGCCTGGGTGGCGGGTGGCTGTTCCCTGGCATGCTTCCCTTCTGGAGGGTATGCCACATGTCTCGGTCCCAAGGTCTGATAACCTGGTTAATCTCAGGGCAACATTTAACACCTGCTTCTGCTCCAAGACCTTGCCAGCTAAGAGAGGCCATGGCATCTCGCAGTGTCTTTGCTGCTGTCAGACTGTTCCAGGTACAGCTGTTTGGGGCTGTTTGTCCTGGTTGCTAAGCCCCCAGCTTCTGCTCATCCGTCATAAAGGCAAGTACAGAAAACTTGGCTTCAGTTCTTTGAGCAAGCTTAAAGCCAAAGAAAATGCCAATGCTGTGTGGAAGGCACCTGCCAATTTAACAGCTGTCAGGGGACTGAATCCACTGAACAAAGTTCATAAAACGCCATCAGTCCAAATCTTTGTTTGGAGATGGGCTTCAGATGGGGGGACCAGGCTTATGATTAGCTTCTTTCCAGTGTTTGTCGCCCAAATGGATTGCATTAGTAAGATCCCAAGAGAAATCATTTCTTGTTAGTGGACAGGTATTCAAGTACTCACCAGCCATGTGCCAAGTGCTTATTTTCTGAGCTCTTGTCACAGAAAACTTTCCAGGGACTGGAGAATTATCAATTCAGTGATGCATAATTGGTTAAATGCTGATTTTCCTTATTGACAGTATCTTATGGGGATACATGTTAGGCTCATATGAGGGTTTTTTCTTTTTTTATGATCTTGTTGACTTTTCTTATGAGTATTTTCTAATTCCGAGTGTGCTTTTTCCCGCTGGCTCAGTTTACTTGTTTTGTTGAACTCCCTTTTTTTTTTTTTTTTTTTTTTTTTTTTTTTTTTTTTTTTGCTTTTTTGGGTCACACCCAGCAATGCTCACGGGTTCCTCCTGGCTCTGTACTCAGGAATTACTCCTGGCAGTGCTCAGGGGACTTTGTGGGATGCCAGGGATCAAACCCAGGTCGGCTGCGTGCAAGGGAAATGCCCTCCCCGCTTTACTATCACTCTGGCCCCTGAACTCTTTTTTTTTTTTTTTATGGCATTTCTTTTTGTATTTGGCAAAGGTCTAGCAGTTCATATTTAACCCTTTTTAACCGTATTTTGACCCAATTTTTTTTCATACAGAAGTTGTATTTGGTATCGTCAGATCTAGATCTCCCACATGCTTGTATGTGAGATTATTTTGAAATGATGAAAAATCAGTAGAGGTTTTTGCCTCATCGGAAAGACTTATAGGTTGAACTAGTATGAACCTTCCCAAGTTTTCTGGTTGCGCTGAACATTTATTCTTAGGTAACTTTGGGAGCCTTGCTCTGTTTAGATCCAGGCTCTGCCCTCGCCCCCTACACCTGGGCCTGCCGTGATACTCAGGTGCTGGTGTTTTCGCTTCCCCTATGCTAGCATGACGCCCTCGGTTAAAGTGGAAAAAATTCATCCGAAGATGGATGGCACACTACTGAAATCTGCGGTGGGGCCAACCTGTCCTGCTACTGTGAGTTCCTCAGTCAAGCCTGGCCTTAACTGCCCCTCAATACCAAAGCCAATCTTGCCTTCACCTGGACAGATTCTGAATGGCAAAGGGCTTCCTGCACCACCCACTCTGGAAAAGAAATCTGAAGATAATTCCAATAACAGGAAATATTTAAATAAGAGATTATCAGGTAACTTGATGTTTTCTGCCTTAATATGTCTTTGTATTGATTGGGCATTCATGGAGGAAAAGATCTACTGCTAATTGTCCTCTTTTTAAAAGTGGTCAGCTACAAATTTAGAAAGAAGTTCCTTAAGGAATATGCGTGTCATCTTCACTCTTGGTGTTAAAAAGCAGGGGTGTGTGGAGATAGTTTATTGATTCTTTTATGTTAAGGTCTTCAGTGGTGTGTTTCTGAATATAGTAATGTAGCCAGGCGGAGTCAGTTTCTCACGGTCCTGCCATTCAGTGGCTGTATCCATCCACTATCATAATGATGTCATTACCTCCGTAGTGCTCACACGTTGTTTTATAACAGGTAAATCAATTAGCTTGGTAGATTTTATTCAGGTTATCATTCAAGTTATAATCTTGAGAGTTAGACCAGATTTTTATTTACAAAAGAAATGAAAAGAGTGTTTGGTGCGCCCATTGTAATATCTGTGTGCTTTTGACAGAAAGAGAGTTCGATCCTGACATTCACTGTGGGGTCATTGATCTCGACACCAAAAAGCCCTGCACCCGGTCTTTGACATGCAAGGTAGGTTGGCCTCTAGGACAAAATTGAGCATCTGGAAAGCACAGGGAACTAGCAACATGCATTGCTCCCACAGTTTGGAAGCCATCTCTAATCTGATGTTCTGTGGATTAGTCTGAATTTTCTAAATAAGAGAATAATAGTTTTGTGGCATGGCCTTCAAATTCAGAAGGAATGTCATCTGTTGTTAAAAACTCTGCAGTCTGTCTTTTGACCACATCTGGCAGTGTTCAGGGGCCACACATGGCTCAGGGGACCATATGTATTGCTGGGATCCAGACCATTTTCACAACATCAGCCATGTGCAGTGCTTTAACCTCTTTTCTATTTTTCCATCTCAAACCCTAGTTTTAACAGAGGTTTTATTTCCAGTGCTGGCAGTATTGTATCCAGGAAAACAGTGTTGTTTCCTAATCAGTGTTATCTTCAAATACTGTTAATATTTTTCAGAAAAATTTACTTTATTTTATTTTATTTTTTTTAGTGAAGCAAACTTTTATTGAAATAAACTTAGAGTGATGTGAAAGGAGATAAAGAGACCAAAACTTGTTCAAGAGAGAATCTGTTCAAGGGAGAACTTCTCCAGGGTAGAAAAAGCAGAGGGATGACGTTTGGGAGAAAACTATATAGAATTTCTCCAAATTTTCTTTACCTGTAGTTCTCTGCGTACATAAATTTATTGTCATTAGGTAAAACCTTGCACTCTTGTTCATCTTTTCATGTACTTATCAAGACCTTTAGACATTCTTTTTCTGGCGTCTCCTTTTTCTAATGGGTCCCACCTTTGGGGGTGAGGCCTCAGCTTCTTCATCTCCAAAGATCTCAGTTTTGTTTTGTTTTTCTCAAAAGTATATGTTCTTCATGTTTGGGGGCTACTTTGGGGCTGGGAAATTTCTTCTTAAATTTTATTATTTCCCAAAAACCTATTACCAGGGCCTCTCTCTCTGTCTGCAACATTTCCCCTCTAGAGATTTTGCCTGCTTAAATCTTTAAGTCGTACACGGGTAAAGATTTGTCTCCTGGGCTGGAGCGATAGCACAGCGGGTAGGGCATTTGCCTTGCACGCAGCCAATGTGACCTCGAACACAGGTTCGATTCCCAGCATCCAATATGGTCCCCCGAGCACCGCCAGGAGTGATTCCTGAGTGCATGAGCCAGGAGTAATCCCTGAGCATCGCCGGGTGTGACCCAAAAAGCAAAAAAAAAAAAAAAAAAAAGATTTGTCTCCTTTAGCTTCTTCAGGCTGACAAAAGGGCCTAGACCCTGCCTTTATAAGGGAGTGAAACATCTTGTTAACTTAGTGTTAGTGTGACCTAGGCAGTGGTTGATGGGGTTTCAGAGTTGTCGGTCTGCAGATTTTTCCCAAGGTTACCTCCTTTCTGGAGAATTTCCCCCAGAGTTTTCTTCACTTTCCTCAGTTGGCTTTCCATTTATGTGACTTGGTAAATTGGGAGCCTAGGGAGGTAGCCTGGAGGAGACAATGCTGGATCCACCTTGGCCACCTGGGGAAGTGCTGGCATAGTCAGGGCTGGTAAAGGCTGCTACGGCAGGGGATGGCCATCAAGTGTTCCTGAAGCCCACTTGTTCTGCACAGCCCGGGGTTGGTGCCCACCACCTAGTTCTCAGGAAGCCCTGGCCACAGGCTGGCACGAGGAGTTACTCTGCAGGAAAGTCGGTCCGAAACTTGGCACAGGCCTTTCAGATCAGTCACTGCCCCTCGCAAAAAAGAATTTCAGGAGGAGTTGAAATAAATGAAATTTAGTTTTTATTGGAAGAAATGTACAGAGCTATGAGGAGAGAGAAAGAGAGATACGTGTTCAGGAGAGAACACAGGCTTCTCCATGGGAAAAGCCTTAAGTGAAATTTAGTATGAGAGGTTATCCTCTGCTGTGATTTAAATTGTCCTGAGTTAGGACAAGTTTGGAGGTTTTCTTTGTATATATGTAAATAATAAAATGTAAAAAATTACTTTTAAAAAACCATAATTTTGAAAAAGCTGTATTTCTCAAAAATATTTCTAAATGGTACCAGTATTGGGCCGGAAAGATAGTATAGCAGGTAGGCACTTGCCTTGCATGTGACCAACCCATGTTCAATCCCTGGTACATTATATGGTTCCCCAGGTCCTGCCAGTGTGATCCCTGGTTGCAGAGCCAGGGGGAAGCCCTAAGTACTGCTGTGTCCGGCCCAAAACCAAAAGAAAGCAAATAGTAATAACATAATATTTAATTTATGTATGTAAACTTAAAAAATATCATGATTATTCTTTCTGTGTTGAGGATTTCCATATTTAAATGTTAGCAAATGCTAATAAGAAGGTAGTAATTTGCCATAAAGTAAAGGTTATTGATAGCAGGGGGCGATTTCATGATACTGAAGGATCCACTACATAAACGAGCATCTATGTTCATATGCATTTTTCTAGAGAGAAAATCCCAACTGCACTTCAAAAAGGGTTTGGGAGTGGAAGGTCCAGAGAGAGAGCACTGCTGATAAAGCACACGCCCTGCTTGTACTGGGCCGGCCTGATTTGGGTTGCACTCGGCCCACTCGTATTTGATCCACATCACCACATATGGTCTCTTGGCATCACCAAGAGTCATTCAACACTGAGAACAGCTGGGTGTGACCCCAAACCAGTAAATAACGAAGGGTTTCAGAAGCATTGTGGAAACATAAAGTATATAACTGAATACTGATATTTGAGAAAGTGGGATAAAAATGAGAAGAATATACTCTAAAAATTAATAAAACCATTGCATACTGTTTGAAGTTTTCTAAAACTTTGTGTTTAAAGAAAAGGCATCAGACCCTGGTCGAGTCCTAAATTATAGTCAGATTCTAGTCATCAGGAATCTGAGCTGTTCTTTTCATTTGGGGCCTGGGGTACATTTCAAGCAGTGCTCCAGAGCCCACGCACACTGTGTATTTGGCAGCAGGACGGAGTCCTTCTATTCTCGGGCCTTGAGAGGTAATAGGGGCCACCAACACCACCCAGTGTGCTTTGGGGGATGTGGGGGCACCAGAGATCGAACTCAAGGCCTCAGGCATGTAAAGAATGGGCCTCTTTTTGCCTGAGCCACCTCCCCAATTCTAGGAGATGTTATTTCTAAGTGGATTGTTATTTGAACATAAATTTATATTCGGAGTGTGGGGATTATTGTATGACGATGGTTCTGAATCTTTGCTGAAAATGATCTTTAAATATCTAACTTGAAGAAAAAATAAATGCCTTTTTAAAAATCATGAATCCTTTTCTACAAGAGGCAAAAGATAGATGTGTGTAAATGATCTGAACTTTGTGTTCTGTATCAGGAACGGATGGGCATCCCTACGCCCGAGCTCATCCTTGAATACTGAGGTTTAGAACTCCTATCTCAGAACAAAACACACAGGCTGATGTTGGTTATCGTTGAATGAAAGTAGCCAATTGCATTTTATAGTTATGTTGTGTTAGCTGCCCCCTGAGACTTCCTGGGAAGGTATACCTCAGCCCTGTTCCATGTCATGAACACTTCTTGCTCTCCTTTGTTTTCCTGCCTACCTGGCTTCTTGGTAACAGGTATTTCTCAGTATTATAGTACCTATCAACGAAGGTTCCTTTCTTTATCTAAGATGCTCTCTTCTAATCTTTAAGGCATAATGGTAAACTAAAAACTTTCCACGATTCGTAAACTACGAAATATTTCACCAGCCTTCTTCCGGACGTTTATTGATCAGTTGAACAGATTCACCTGGATCTTCCTTTACAGATGGGCTTGCTCCCTCTGTGTTCTGTTAAGGGTGTCATTATTGTCTGTGGCGCAGTGCTAAGTCTGCTGTCATATCAGTATATATTTTCTGCTTTGGCTTCTCATGAGTTCATCTCAAGCTGGCAGAAAAGGCAGCAGCTGGCCAGGCTGCTCTTTCATAAAAGCGTCCTTACCTTTCCGGGTTCCGTGTGTGTCTCGGGGCTGTGTCTTCCTCTGCTTTCTGAGTGAATCTGATCCGTATCTGTTAAGGCTGGAGGGCAGAATGTACGAGAGTGCGTGGACATTGCCCTCATTGTGCCTCAGGTTGTGGTGCGGTTCGTCATTTGTTAGATTTAGAGCCTTAGTGGCCAGGGACCTGCTGCCGCCCAGCCAGTCACTATTTCTCGCCAGCCATCCTCACTGCCTCATCCCTGCTCCCTCATCTGTCTGACTTTCTCTTTAATGTCCCCTCTTACTTTCCACAGGTTTTGCCTCTGTTAGCCTTCTCCACACAGTCATTATAGAAATTTTTATTGGACACAACTGTGAGTATAAGCCTCACTCTAGGCCCCCCAGACTTTTAATAAAATCAAAGTGTGTCCTCTTTCCTTGTGGGGCTTACAGTCTAATGCAGAGATGAAAATTAATCTGACCACACAAATAAGTGTGAACCTGGACCACTTGAGTAGCTTAAAAAGGGGAGGGGGCTAGTGTTATGATAGCCATCGGTAGAGAATTGGGTCTTTGTCATAGGGGAACTGGTTTGAAATCCATTATTTATTTGGGCAAAGAGCACAGGATAGGTAACAACATGTGCAAAGATGGCTGGAGCAGAGTAAACACCATTGCAGCCACTGGAAGGCATCCAGGAACTGGACAGAAGGAGCAGGAAGTACTTGGTGCCGAAGGAGTGAAAATGGGAATCGTTTGTGTTCAGATGTGCAGAGCCCGAAGAGTTAGCTGCACAGTCTTTATCCTGTGAGCTTTGGGCAGTACCACTGTAGCACTGTCCTCCCATTGTTCTTTGATTTGCTCGAGTGGGCCCAGTCGTGTGTCCATAGCGATACTTGTTGTTACTGTCTTCGGCATATCGAATACGTCACGGGGAGCTTGCCAGGCTTTGCCATGCGGGCGAGATGCTCTCGGTAGCTTGCCGGGCTCTCCGAGAGGGGCGGACCAGAAATAGATATTCATTCATTCAGCACATATTGGTGACCATGATTTTTTTTATCTGGAGCATTTATTCACTGCCGATTCTATACTAAATATAGGTGCAGCATAGACAAAATATAGTTCCTTGTCTTCATTTAGATTGCTTTCTTGTGAGCATATTACGTATTAAATAAAACCAAGTGATTTTTTTTTTAAATAAAGCTGTTTTCTCACATTTATCCTTTATGCTAAATTAGATTTGGAGCTGATTGTTTGCAGCATGTCTTATAAGAGGTTGATTATGGTATTGAATCTTAGAAGGGCCTGTAGAGGCCTAATTCCTCTTAAATTTCATCAAACATTTGTTTAATATATATGATATATAATTTATATAATGTGGAGGGCCACAATTGTTTTCAGTATTTGGTAATGAAGGAGAAGGAAATAGTTGATGTCATTTATTTTCAGGATATGTGACTTGAGACCACCATGTTTTAGTGTTTCCTTACAATTTATGGTTTGGGGTTTAGGGGGAATGGAAGGGGGACTCCCAAGGAAGTGCTCAGGGAGCCCTGGGTCTCCTCCCGGCAATCCTTGGCCATCTGGACTTGCATGTCAGTGCTAAGTCTACTATGCTGCTCAGGCCTCTCAGTGCTCGGGGTTACTTGGGCTTCTCCAGTGGTGCTCAGGGGCCGTTGGGGCTGCCCCCAGAGATGCTGAGAGGACTGTGTGATGCCACAGTTGAACCAGGGTTGACCACATGCAAGGCGTGGGCCATAACTCCTGTACTGTCTCCGTAGTTCCTCTTTTTATGCATCGTCCAGACTAACTCCCCCACAATGTGACATGAGTGGGTTCACTTGATTTTCGTTTTGTTTTGCTTTCTGTGTTTGGGCCACTCCAGGTGATGCTGAGGGGTTACTCCTGGCTCTGCACTCAGAGAGAACTCTGGTGGTGCTCGGCTGACCAGATGGGACGGCCAGGCACATGCACGGCAGATGCCCTGCTCGCAGAACTATTGCCCTGACCCCAAGGGTTAACTTGATTTTTATCTTCAGCGTGCTAGTATTAACATCAGTCGAAAGTGAACCTTTAAGAAGAATTAACCAATAATCAAATATATTTGGAATATGGACAATTTCTGATAGGATGTGCACTTTAACCTCAGGATGATTGTGTTAGTGACCCTTTCAGAAAAGCACTGCTATAGTTTGACCATTTTCTTCATTTTGAAGTTAGATTTATTTGAATATCTAGTAAGAATGCTATCTATCCCATTTTCTTGACTTCCACAGTGAGTATCTTCATAGATGTTTTTAGTGATTCCCAAAGCTTTTGGCCTGTTCCTCCCCTTCGCTCTGCTGCGCTCCTGGCTGTACATTCCCTGCTTCTCTCACGTCTTCTCAGCACCACGGCAGTTCACGTCTCTATGATGCTGTGAGTCACGTTAGCTCTTTCCATGGCATTTCTACTGGAATGGAGAGGAGCCGTTGGATTTAATTTTTAATTTTGGCAGTTAATCAAGAAGGCCTTTTACACATAGTATACAAAATAGTTGCTTTTCCCTTTTATCATTCAAGATTCATTGACCCAAAGAGGAGTTTTTCTAATGAAGTTGGTTCCAGTAAACGAATTTTTACCACAGCACAGAATATGAATACTTGTACTCTGCTTGTTTCTTTTCAACTTAATTACATGCCAAGTGACATAGTGAATATCTCGTCTTTCTTATGTTGCATATAACATTGCCCAAATTGTGTACATTTGGATCCTGAAATATATGCTTTTATTCTAAAAGGACTGTACTCATATGATTTTTTGCTTATCAAATGCTGAGTAGATTGTCTCCTCATTGAGAATGGTGTTTTAGATATGTTGACAGAGAAAAAAACGTACTGAGATACTCAGTTTCTGGGTTTTTGCTTGTTTGTTTTTGCCTAGACACATTCCTTAACCCATCGGAGGGCTGTTCAGGGTAGAAGAAAGCGATTTGATGTGTTATTAGCTGAGCACAAAAACAAAACCAGGGAAAAGGAATCAATTCGTCATCTGGACTCTCAGCAGCCAACACAGCCTCTCAGGGACCCGCATCCCACCCCTCCTAGAACTTCACAGGAGCCACACCAAAACTCTCACGGAGTGATTCCTTCTGAATCAAAGCCTTTTGTAGCTAGCAAACCTAAACCTCACACCCCCAGTCTTCCAAGGTAAGCCAAGACTTCCAACTCTTTCTCCCTCCTCCAGAGTGCAGAACTGCAGACTCCAGAAAGCTCCAAGCCACGATGTCGAGGAATGCACGTCTGGCTGGCTCTGAAGACAGTTTTTAAATTGGTTTTTATTCTGAGAACAAAACTTGTTGAGTTCATCTATAATTTTTCAGTCAGGGAGCTTCTTGGTCTAATGTAAGCAGCAGAATATGACTCGAGTTACCCGCTCCACGACTGCACAACAGATACCTCTCGACTCTGTTACATGGGGCCAAAATTTAGGTCCTCTCCCGGCTAGTGATTGGAACATTTCACATGGCTTTGGCAGCAATTTTCCATACATTTGTCTTGCTTCTTGCAAAATATAGCAGTAGAGTACCTTGCTGAGATCTAGCATTTGGTTTGAAGTTTTATAACATTCATATATCCGCATGTATTTTCATTCATTCATTTGGGACTTTGACTTTAGTGTGGATCAGTTACTTTGGCAGCATAGGAAGCATGACGACAGTGTTTTACTGAGAGCTCACCACACATGAACCGCAAAGATCGTGGTAGAATGAGTGTATGCATGTTTTTGCTTGTCTGTGTAACCAAGTTGAACTAAAGAACTTTGTACCAAATTTTCAGAGGGAAAAGAAAGGAAAGAGGTAGAGACTGAGGGCGCCCCTCCAGTCTTGGCCATAGCAGTAAAGGCCTCTCTTAGAAACAGGCCAACCCCGATGCTGAGTAACCTTTCACCCTCCCCTGTCAGATCCTCAAAATGGTCACATTGTGGGCTGAAACACCTCCCTCTTGGAAACCCAAGTGTGTGTGTGCTTGAGTCTGTCCCTAAATGAGTCCTCTGGTTTTGGAACAACACAGTGGAGATCTGGTCAGAGGGGCCTCCTCGGGCTGTTCAAACCCCAGCTTCCAGTCCCTAGCAGATTCTTTCTTGGACATCTTCAGCGAAGTTTTTCTGTCTATAAAAAAGCGAACTTAAGTCTAGAACCACATTTATATGCATGGGGGAATAAAAGATTATCCTTGAGTATCAGGTCCTAGGTTATACATATAGCATGTCAGTATTGTTGGTTTTTAAAATCAACTCTGTCCCTTTCAGATTGCTTAGAGCATTCGGCCAATGACCTTTTTAAATAAGCTTTCGTAATCTTAAGGTGAAATTTGAAGATGATTGAAGGAATTATCTTGAATTTCTTATATATTTCCCTTTTGAGCAGATTAGAGGCAGGTCTGAGGACCTGATCCACTTTAATGACTATAAAAAAGAACTAGTGACATGTTAGCTCAGTAAGTTCTGGCAGAGAGCTCCACTTGACAGCATGCAGTTCAGGAGGGTGGTTCATTGGCTCCCAGAACACGTGAATCCGCATGTTTCCCCAGAGCTAGTGGACGACCCCAGACACCCTCCCCCCTTTAAGTGGTTCTGGATACTTTATTGTATCTGAGTTAAAGCGGCTGATTTCCAGATGTGTGATCTGATCAGTGCTGCACTTTCTACTCACCAAGGCCTCCAGGCTGCCCTGCTCAGCAAGGTGGGAGTGCCCCCATTGACCCTCCTTCAGTCCATGAATCTCCACACCCGCCCCTGCCTGCCACTGAGCCAGCTTCTCGGTTATCCAGTGAGGAGGGAGAAGGCGATGACAAAGAAGAGTCTGTTGAAAAACTGGACTGTCATTATTCAGGTCATCATCCTCAGCCAGCATCTGTAAGTTCCATGTCCACCTCATGTTGACTTTCCTCACTCAGCAGGAAAAGGGCTCGGCAGCGGGGCAGGGGGGCGGGGGCATGCCCATCCCAGGAGTGGGATGCATTCAAGGTGTAGGACCAGCGGAGAACAGGGCACCCCCGAGGTGGCGTGCATTCTTTCTTCATGAAGGACTAGGCATCGGTCACGCTCATGCTTCATACCCTCCTCAGAGTAAGCTTTGATCTTTCCCGGTTAGTTACTTTCCCGAAGAAGAGAGAACCCTTTCCGGTAGCAAGCACCCACGACTGTGCTCTTTCTTGCAGTTTTGCACATTTGGGAGTCGGCAGATTGGAAGAGGCTATTACGTGTTTGACTCCAGGTGGAATCGGCTTCGCTGTGCCCTCAACCTCATGGTGGAGAAGCATCTGAATGCGCAGCTGTGGAAGTGAGTGCCTGTCCCAGTTCCTGGCTTTTCCTGGAGCTACATCCTCTTTCTGTCTTATGGGTGCAATTAGATACGTGTGCCTAAAATGTAAAGGGAAATGCGACCTGTGACCTTGGGGAAAAGCCTTCATTCATGTACCATTCCTTTCAGCAAAAATGTCTTGTTCTGGGTAGTGGAGTTGCAGGCAAAGAAATCTTGACTTCTGTGGTGCTCACATTCTAGTTGAGAGAGAAACAAACAAACAGAAAATAGGAATTAGCTGTCATCAGGGAGATAATGGACTCTGCACCCATTTACCTGCCTGCTTGGTTTTTTGACAGTCAATCAGGAAAAGCCTGTCAGAGACCTCCAGTAGTCCACAATCAAAGAACTATATCCATGATAATAAGACTCAATCTGTTTACCTAGAATGCCAGACCCAAGACATTTCTCGTGGTTCTTGCTGCTTGGAAGCTCCTGCTTTTTCTTTATGAAAACCTTGAAAAAAAAAATCAGGGTAGTGGTTTGTTGGGGAAGGGAAGTCCCTCTATATCAGAATAGCCTAAGATGCATGAAATATTAACTTCCATTTCTTCAGGCTCTTAGGTGGGACTTGGAGAGTGCATTGAACTTCCCTAACCCTGGAATTCATTGTGTTCCTAAGAGCCTACAAGAGTCTTGGAATGTTTTATCCCCATTAGATTGATTTGTGGGCCAGAGCGATAGCACGGCGGGTAGGGTGTTTGCCTTGCACGCGGCTGACCCGGGGACCCAGGTTCCTCTGCCCCTCTCGGAGAGCCCGGCAAGCTACTGAGAGCATCGCACCCATACGGCAGAGCCTGGCAAGCTGCCCGTAACGTATTCGATATGCCAAAACAGTAACAAGAAGTCTCACAACGGAGATGTTACTGGTGCCCACTCGAGCAAATCGATATTGATTTGTGTTTCATGGCCCACATTTTGGGTGGATGTGACTTCAGGTTTTGGAGGCTTGTGTGAAGAGCTTTTTCTCTTTGTGCCATATACTCTTTAACTTTATTTTGGTTTTGGGGCCACACCTGCTCTGGAATTAATCGCTCCTGGTGGTGCTTGGGGGAACCATATGGGATGCCAGGGTTTAACCATTTTCATGGCAAACACCCCACCCACTGTACTGTACTATCTCTCCAGCCCCAGCTTGTAAACTTTTTCTCCCCATCCCCTTTTTTTCTTTCCTTTTTATTTTTAAAATGAACCAAAATAGTTTTATTGAAAGAAATTTACTTAGAGGAGTGAGAGGAAGAAGCGTGATGCATTTTTAAAAAGAACACGGAGTGCCATGTGCTCTTAAAAAGTCTAATCATGTGTGTGATTTCACTGCCTCTCGCTTGTGTTAGAGGCTGACTGCCTTTCGAAAGCTCACTTGATCTCAGTGAGGAGGAAAACCTTGTCTTTGTTAACATAGCCTCTGACTTCAAAATGTCATCCAGTGGAGACAGAAGGGAGTGCTTGGTGAGAACGCCGACAGGGGCAGATCAGAGCTAGTAGACAGGTACAGACTGGAGGAAATGTGGCCGATTGATGCTGCACTTTCCAGCAACCGGCTGAGGTCTGCTCAATGCGCTGCCCTTCCCAGATCTGGGATCCGGACTACCCAGGTCTTCAAGGGAGGGATTGGGCTAAGAGCTCTCTTGTTGTGGTTGTTAATTGGGATTTATATTGGTAATGCATTTATGTCACTAATGAAGATAAATGTAAAGAGATACATCATCTGATTCCAGTCCCAGTTCCCACTTCCTGGCCCCCCCACCCTCACCATTGGAAATGTTTTTATTAGTTGTTTGTCTATCTTTACATAGTTCATTTATGCAAAAACACAATCCAATGTAATATTCTATTTGTCTCTTCATCCAGAAGGTAATGAACGACTTGAAAGTTATTTTGTTTTGATTTGGTTTGGTCTGGGTCAGATATGCTCAGGGTTACCCCAGGCTCTGCTCTCAGGACCATACGAGGATCAAACCTGGGTCCGCCGGGTGCCAGGCACACGCTTTACCCACGGTACGATTGCTACGGCTCCTTCAAAGCTTTTTAAAAGAGTGACTAGTACCATTACAAAAAGAATAACATTTTCTCTCCTGCGATGCTGAATTTTCCTTTTCCCAGAATTTGGTTCTTAACAGCGAAGGCCCTAGGCTCAGTCTTCTACGCCACCGCCACCTGGTGGCCGTAAGGGGCCACATCACCCCATGGGCAGGCAGACAGCGGCAGCTTCCCCATGTCGTCTTTGTGCGAGGTCTTTTGGAGGTACATTCAGATTTGGATGCAGGAGATCTGGGGTAGGATCTCAGGACTCAGCATTTAGGATTAGCCTCTCAGGTAATTCAGTGCTTATACTCGGTGAGAAACACAGATCGAATTAGCCCTTCTATTTTGCCCCTGATCGGTGCATCTCTTCGAGACTGCTGATGTCTGGCCCCTCCCCCAAGAGTTCTGTGTTGTTAGTATGAGCATTTCTCAAACCCTGCGAGCGATTTTCATGGGCACCCAAGGGTGAGATGCACTGACCGTTCCTGAATGGAGGTCTGCAAGGTGGCACAAACATTTGCAGTGAACAATTCCTTTTATTAATAATTACAGTTCTTTAAATGTGTAAGGAAAATAGCTTGATAGCAGTCTAGACTAACTTTCTCTCATAGAAGATGAGGAAGTGAAGTCCCAGCTCTTGTGGGGGCAACTAGCCTAGCCAGAACTGTAACCTCCAGGGTTCAAAGCGTTCTTCTAGCCAGGTCATTTTCTGTTCGCCACCTTGGTGTGAATTCTGCCCTTTGGGAAGGGTTCATTTGGGCCCTGTCCCATTTTAAAATCAGAGCTAAAATAAAATGGGGGGAGTAGTGTCTCTTTGGTTTGACTAATGGAAAAAAAAATGCCTTGCCTACACATTGTTAACAGGGTACATTGTTACACACTGACTAGAAACTCTGAAATTCTAGGGCTTTATTCCTTCGTATTGTCAGCCACTCAAGCCAATTGTTAGGACCTCGAGATTGTTATGCCCTTTTCTTTCATCTGATACATTCAAGTTATATTGAGCTTGTCTGTGTGCCAGACACTGTGCTGGACCCTGGGGCTGCCATGGTAGATGAGTTGTGGATCGCTTCATCTGCAGAGAAATTTGTTAGTGATCAACAACCAGACAGTGGCACTATCCTGAGTCCTTCGAGTCTGGGAACAAGAGGTTGGGAAGTTGGGGCTGGGAACTTAGGTAAACCAAGACCAACTTCTTTAAAAAGTAGGGATGAGCTTGAACTAAAGGATGAACTGTTTCAAGAGCTGAAGGTGGAAGGTATGCAAAGTCTTAACCTAGGGCGTAGTCAGCGGACCTGCAGAACTCAGCAGTAGACTCTGGGGTCAGGGATGGTGCGTGGATGTTGACAGACTGGGCTGCTGCAGTGATATGGTGTGAGACACTGCCTTCTAGACCCTTATTCTGAGAGCCCCAGGAAGACATTAAAGAATCTTAAGGAAAGGAAGCAAGGTAACAGGCCTGACTGTGCATTTCAGAGTGATCAGGGTCCATATCATTCTGACAGGGGTGCTTTTCCCAATGCCAGGGCTGACAAGGTGTCCATGGGACAGTTTCTGAGAATAGTGAATGTCACTCATTGCCCTCTCTTATTTTTTTTTTTTTTTGGCAGGAAAATCCCACCAGTGCCCAGCACATCACCTGTCTCTACACGTATTCCTCACCGGACAAATTCTGTCCCCACGTCACAGTGTGGGTCCAGCTATCAGGCAGCGGCCACCATGTCTACATCCCCAGCCCTGCTCTCCTCCACCTGCATCTCCCCAAATAGTAAATCGGTACCAGCTCATGGAACCACACTAAATGCACAGCCCGCCGCGTGCGGCGCGATGGATCCTGTGTGCAGTATGCAATCCCGACAAGTGTCCTCGTCATCCTCGTCCCCTTCCACGCCCTCTGGCCTTTCCTCCGTGCCCTCCTCCCCTATGTCCAGGAAACCTCAGAAATTGAAACCCAGCAAGTCTTTAAGGCCCAAGGAGTCTTCTGGTAGCAGCACGAACTGTCACAATGCCAGTAGCAGTACCAGTGGCGGCTCAGGAAAGAAACGCAAAAGCAATTCCCCAATATTTGTTCACTCTTCCTCCTCCTCCTCCTCCTCCTCCTCCTCCTCCTCCTCCTCTTCTTCTCATTCCATGGAGTCTTTTAGGAAAAACTGTGTGGCTTACTCTGGGCCTCCCTACCCCTCAACGATACCATCTTCCCATGGCATTGGCCTTAACTGTGTGGTGAACAGAGCAAACTCAGTGAGTGTCCGGCTCGACCAGTCAGGGAGGGGCCCCCCCAGTGGGAGCCCTGCGGAGTCCATCAAGAGGATGAGTGTCATGGTGAACAGCAGCGATTCCACGCTGTCTCTGGGACCGTTCATTCACCAGTCCAGTGAGCTGGCCGTCAACTCCCACAGCAGTTTCCCGCACTCGCACACTCCGCTGGACAAGCTGATCAGCAAGAAAAGGAAGTGCTCACCCAGCTCCAGCAGTGTCAACAGCAGCAGCAGCAGCAAACCCACCAAGGTCGCCAAGCTGCCGCCCATGAACAACATCCACGTGAAACACACAGGCACCAGCCCAGGGGCACAAGGGCTGACCAACAGTTCCCTCCTTCACCAGGTAGGAAATGGACCGTGAGCCCGTGGGCCACACCCCCCTCAGGCCCTTGGCGAGGTCGAGAATCCGTGAGGTTCGTGTGAACGGGTGTCCAGCGTCAGGGTGTCTTGGATGGGACAGTCCGTGGTCCTGTGAAGGTCGGAGAGGCAGTCCTCAGCCCGATTCTCGACCTCCTGGCAGAGAGATGCTCCTAGGAATGGAAAGCACAGAGATGCGTCTTAGCAGACCCAGCACCGCCCCTGCCTGATGATCCGAGCCCACCGGGGCCATGTGCGGCCCCTGTTGTTGGCTGCCAGGAAGGGCAGTGCGTCCCGGCGAGGAGCTCGGGAACGGGTCTCTCTGAGCAAAGCGTGACTGAAACTCCGCTAGAGAAGGATGATTTAAATTTATAAGAAGAGTTTTAAGTATTTTCCCCATCAAGGAATTTCACATATCCTACTAAGTTTTTCTCTGTATCTTCCCCCGGTCGCTTCCCAGGAAGGCAGGAAAGCCACGTTAAGTTTGGACATAGCAGGAGACTAAGATTCTGGATGTGAGCCCCTGGGTAGAGAGTCGTTTAAGTGGGTGTCAGGTTCACAGCTCACTCCACCTTGCTCAGGCCAGCCTGTCAAGCTGTTCTCCACTCTTCCACCCATGCCTGACACTGTCTTTCCACCTTCTTGAGCCTTTTCTTTTTTGCCTTTTAGTTCATCTCTGCTCTGACCATTTCATTTATTAGGATATCTTTGCTTGATTACAAACAGGAATTTCAACAGTATTTGCCTAAAATCAGGTTATAAAAGTGGGCTTCTTTTTTTAATTTTCTTTTATTGAATCACTGTTAGTTAGATAGACCCTTACAAATCTGTTCATGATTAGATTTCAGGCATACAGTGTTCCAACATTTATCCCTCCACCAGTGTACATTTCCCAGAACCAGTGTCCCCAGGTTTTCCCTCCCATCACACCCCACACCCCCTGCCTGTCTCTACAGCAGGTGCTTCTCTCTCTCTCTCTCTCTCTCTGTGTCTCTATGTCCCCTTGTGGTTTGCAATATTGATACTGAACGGTTATCAAGAATATCTCTTTGTCTACTTTCAATCTTCAGATCTTGTCCAGCATGATCACCCCTAGATATTATTGTCATACTGGTGTCTTCTCTCTTACCTACCCTCAGCCCCACACACACTTGTGGTTAGTTCTAACCATTGAGCAGTCCTCCTAACCCCTGTTTTCCCTGGTCATGGATATTAGTCTTCTGCTATATTTATTTTGTAGATACCACAAAGGAATGCAGTCATTCTATATCTATCTCTCTCCTTCTGACTCATTTCACTCAGCATGACACACTCCACGTCCATCCATTATAGGCAAATTTTATGACTTCATTTTTCCTAATAGCTGCATAGTATTTCATTGTGTAGATGTGCCATAGTTTCTTTATCCATTTGTCTGTTCTTGGGCACTCAGGTTGTTTCCAGATTTTGGCTATGGTGAATAGTGCTACAAAGAACATAGTCATGCAGATGGTGTTCCTGCAGTGTGTTTTTGGACCCCAGGGTATATCCCAGAAGTGGTATTGCTGAGTCAGGTGGGAGCTCAATTTCTAGTTTTTTTGAGAAAAGTCCATATTGTTTTCCTAAAGGCTGGACCAGTTGGCATTCCCACCAACAATAAGTGAGAGTCCCTTTCTCCCCACATCCATGCCAACACTGGTTTCTCTTGTTCTGTTGTATGTGTGCCAGTCTCGGTGGCGTGAGATGATATCTCATTGATGTTTTGATCTGCTTTTCCCTGGTGATTAGTGATGAAGAGCATTTTTTCATATGCCTTCTGGCAATTCGAAATTCTTCTTTGAGAAAGTTTCTGTTCACTTCATTACCCCATTTTCTTATGGGATTGGATGGGTTTTTTTTTCTTGTAGAGTTCAACTAGTGCCTTGTATATCTAAAAGTGGGCATATGATTATTGTTTCCCCCATTTTGTCTTAAGATTTTGAATACCAGATCAGATTTTTTTTTGGTCAAGAAAATATTGAGAAGTTTGTTCCTGTTATAGTTTTCTTTCAATATCAGTGCCAGATGTATGGGGAAAACATTCATGATTCTTTACTGTTGCTTGTTCCTTCTGAGCTCCAATGCATATGGGCTATTTGATGTTTGACTCTTTGGTGGGGTTTTTTTTTGGGGGGGGTTGGCTTTTTGGGTCACACCCCACAATTCTCCTGGCTCTGTACTCAGGATTTATTCCTGGCAGTGCTCAGGGGACCATAAAGGATGCTGAGGGATTGAACCAGAGTTGGTCACATGTAAGGTACGAGCCCCACCCACTGTACTTTTGCTTCAGCCCTGCTATTTGACTCTTTGGACAAGTAAAAATTCTGCCTTTACTTCCTGACTGGTAGTTCCTCATATTTTGTGATAGCATTAAAAAGCATGATGCAAACACAGCAAAAAACTGGTATGCCCATTTTTTAAGTTTTGTTTTGGGGCCATACCTAGTAGTGCTCCAAGCAGTGGACGGGGGAGGAAAGGGGGGTGCAGGATCAAACTGGTGGTGCCAGGGATCAAACCCAGGGCTCTCACATGCAAAGCATGCACTCAGCCCCATGAGCTATCTCTGCAGTCCAGAATTTGCCATTTCTTAGCTGTGTGAGTTTCCTGGCTCTTTAATTTAGGGTCGCCCACACATCTGTTGACTACGTTTGACTCATAAGCTCTACTGTCTTTGCAACTTCTGATTTCTGCCTTTAACGGAGCTGTATCTCACTGTGAAAACAGTCAAAGTGTGGATTCTTTTTCTTAAAATTAGTTTCAGCTTAAGTATGTATCTGAGAGACATTTCCCTGTGCAGTGGGAGACTTTTTTCAGTCACGCTTGCACATCCCAGGGAGGCTACATGGTTGAAGGATGAGGTTTCATGAAGCCTTGAAAATGTTGTACATCACAGAGCCTGTGCTCATTTCTCTGTAAGGGAATTCCAGAGCTTTCATTCAAATTGCAGAGGGACTCATGATTCCAAGGATGCATTCAGGTCGTGATTTTTCGGGCCTTTTATGCCTGTGGACCAGCCCCTGTCTTGAGCACCAGCAGTTAAAAACTTCTTCTCTGGGGCTGGAGCAATAGCACAGCGGGTAGGGCGTTTGCCTTGCACGCGGCCAACCCGGGTTCGATTCCCAGCATCCCATATGGTCCCCTGAGCACCGCCAGGGGTGATTCCTGAGCGCGGAGCCAGGGGTAACCCCTGTGCATTGCCGGTTGTGACCCAAAAAGCAAAAAAAAACAAAAACAAAAACCTCTTCTCTAAAGAGGTGCTCTTCGTGAAGACTCAACTAGGTGTTCTGATGGAGCTGACTTTAATGTAGAGAGAATTGAGCTGGTAATTAGTTATGGAGCCTCCTGAACAAGAGGCTGTTGTGGGATATGGCTGGGAAGCCCAGAAGTTGGAGTTGGGCAGCGCCCTTCTCCTCCCCCAGAACTATTCATGGCCTCTGCCACCTAGGACTTAAAAATAGCTCACTGTGGGACTGCGGGGGCCAGAGATCCCTTTCCCTGGCACGGGACCGCCGTGGGTGTGATTTTTCACACCTGTGTGTATTAGCCTATTTGACCTTGTCATTTCTCGACTGACAACTTGGAATTACCTTCAACAACAAAATCGGTAAATAGGCAAAAGGCAAACACATGAACCTTTTCTTCCCAAAGCCGCAAGTCTGGCTTGCAGCTCTTCGAGACAGTTTCTAAAATGTCAGGTTTGGGGAATGGCTGTGCCTGAGGGCCGGGTGTTTGAAAGCGAAGGCTGCATTTGAAGCTGACTGCTCCTGGGATCACCCAGGCAGGGGCGACCTTAGTGCTGCGTGGCCTTTAGAATGTAACTGTTCAGAGTCAGAGGAGCACTGTGTACAATCACTCACCTTTCTGTTGTTTTTCCACCCCTCTGTTTTTGAAAGACCAAGGCACGTCCCTGACAGCTGGAAATAGCAAGGGGAGGAATAATCTGGACACTTTTGGCGACAAGTTACACCTCCACTCAGCACTCTGGACTCCGCTCCGCGATGCCTTTGAGTCTGTTTTCTCAACCTCCTGTGGGCCTCAAGGGTAGAAATCTTCCAGTTTTTAACAGTGGATTTCCCTGAAGCTATGTCTGTAGCAGTGAGTACTCATAAAGGACACTGGATTAAGTTCAGCCACCGAATTGCTTTTATCAGTGTTACAGTGGTCTGGACTGCTTGCTACCAATCTGTGAGAAGTTTTTGTTTTGTATTGTAACTTGCAGTATATCATGGAGCCACTCTTTGAGCAGATTGGCTGGGTGAAAGAATGTTTTGACCGGAGCGTTACTGTATGTCTCTCTCTCTCTCTCTCTCTCTCTCTCTCTCTCTCTCTCTCTCTCTTCCCCCATCCCTCCTTTGCCTGCCCTGATTCATTCTTTTTCTTTTATTCTCTCTCTCTCTCTCTCTCTCTCTCTCTCTCTCTCTCTCTCTCTCTCTCTCTGAAGGCTCCATGACAGAATAATTCAGCCTTTTTGAAAGTTTGGGATGAGAAGCTGTTAGAAGTTTCTACAAATTGATTTAAAGCTATCAATACCCAGAAAACAATTTTTTATCATTTTAGAGGCTTACTTTTCATGGTACAGATGCAGATCTATAGAATTTTGAGAAAAGAAATCAAAGAAAAAAATACAATTGCAGACTAGTTTTGATAAAGGGAAGCCAAGTTTTGGTGGGAGGAGAGGGGAAAAAAGTCATTAATGGGAGTCGTTTTATTCCCAAAAGATGGAATTTTCATATCCTTTCATTTTTTCATGCTAAATGGTATGGCAGATTGGGTTGGCTGTCCAGCCCAGTCTCCTATTTTCAAAAATCGCCATTGTAAAGTAAAGCCATTAGGATGCAACAGAAATGTCATTTTCAAAGTCATCACTGCTCATAAATGTCTCCGCTGCACTCTGCATTTACCCTCAGTCTTCTCTCTGGATGCTGTCCTGGACTAACTGTAAACTTCTGCTTTGAGTACTCCCCAAATCGTGTGTGTCTGCACCCCCCCTTTCTGCCACTACAGATATTTATTTTGATGCCCTTGGGGTGGGGAGCAGGCACTCAGGGAAGGGGGTCATGGAGTGGTACATGTGCTCATGCAGGGACAATGTGACACCCATCTAGTATTTCCTGAACACCCTCTAGGGCTCCATGCCAGCCGTCTTCCTGAGAGGTTAGGAGACCCGCCAGGATAGTCTTTTCTGTTACCCATCGCCAATGAAAGAACTTAGGAAATATCCTTGCTGTTGAAGGTGTCATTGACACTGGGGAATGAACTAGGGCTTTTCACAAGCCACTCCACCATCACAGCTCCCGAAACACAAACCAGGAACACTTGCTGAGAACAACACATAGAGTTGCCGAACACAGGGTAAATTTTCCAAGGCTCTGATCATTGGTTCTGGATAGGACCTGGGTAGAGCCAATCAGTGCATCCTTTCTTTCCCCTGCAATTCTTGGGTTACAAACTTCAGTTTCAGGGAATTTCAGCTCAAAAACAGGTAGAATGAATAAATACTTGGTTACCAGCCTAATAATGTGAATCGCTACAGAATTATTATCTAAGAAAACAAAAACTTTATGCAGATTCTTTAGCTAGAAATTGATGTAAAATTTTGATTTTTTTTAAAGGAAGGGGGAGAACAGTACCTTGTCCACTTATATGCAATCAGTCGGTAAATTTTTTTAATGATACTATAAGGAGAGCATAGTAAGGCGAGAGCATGGATGGGCCAACTTTGGATCAGGAGAAATCAGTCTGGTTGTTCCATCTCAGTAGAAAGAGGGGACGGAGGTAAGAGGGAATCAGATCGTACTTAGTTGATTCCTTGGTGACAAGTGCAATGGGGTGTGGGTAGAATTTATTTTCAGAGCCAAGGGGACTTGATGGCTATAAGTAAAGTCGCTTTTAGCAACGGAATTTATAGAGAGATCATGTTGTTCCGAAAGATGTGAATAGGATCCACGATAGCGATAGCAAGTTGATTCTGAATAATGTAGATATTTAGATTAGCAAGTGATGATCATTTAATTTCTTAGTCTGAGGTTTTAATTGAAATTCAATAAGTCTCCCGGTAGTCCACAGAACATCGGGATTAGGAAATTAGCCATTTTGAATTCTGCCTGTCACAGACAAGACCTAAACAGTGCTATTAAATTTTAGACTGTTGTTCAAATATTTTATTTTCTCCTACAACTACTTTTTATTATGCTGAACAATTAAGACCATTTAAAACACAGGAGTACTCGTATTTTTTTGAATTAAATTAACTTGCGAAAACCAAATTTGCAGTGGTAGGGTTGTTTCTAGACAGACTTTGGTATCAATTTAAAACCAAGATAATTTTTATATTCTTTCCAATAGAATTTCATGACAACTCCTGCAGTTTTCTTAACCTACAAAAAAAAAAAGTGCTGCGATGATGAACAAAGAATTATACGAAACCTACTTTTGTATCTTTATTTTGGAATTTCTTGTTCTATTATAAATATGGAAGTATCCCTATTTCAGAAGACATATTTTGTTAAAAATGAATTGTACATACTTAAATATGTATTTTTGCACAGGTCTTTTTTTCTGATATCCTGTTTTGGTACAATTGAGATCATCTAGTATTTATTTATTAATTAATAAAAGTAAATACCTTTTTATAATTTGAAGTGGTTCACTGCCAAGCCAATAGTTCTAGAACCTGCCTCCTTTACAGTTCAAGGGATGCCTCTGTTCTGTGAAAGTCTTTTTGTCCCTGTAATGTCTCGGGAGTGGATTCATCCAGATGAAGTGGGCATTGTTTCTCCTTCGTTGCCAGATTTCCCGATAGACTACATGTAACTAAGTGACACACTGCTTTCCTTTCGTTGGTGTTCTTTATGTGTGAGTGTGTTTATGCGCGTGCATATGTGCGTCCACGCACATGTGTGTTAGTATGTGATGATGTGATATGGTTTAAAACTAATGGGAAAAAACTGAAAGTGCCTGAACCTAATTTTATGCTTAGACAGATTCTCTATAAAAAAAGACTTGAATGTTCAGCTGAACTTTTGGAGTTTGCTTTTTCCACCTAAATATTGTTTCTAAAACTTTAAGGGAGGAGTTATAAACCACACATGCTGGTGATTTTATAAGGTATTTTAAAGTTAAGACCTTTCGGTTCATGGTAATTCACGGTGATGGATTGCCTAGTGGCACCAAAGGTTACCAATCTCTTTGTTAGCCAGCGACTTACACAACGTGTCCGTTTTGTTATTCACTCATGAAATACAGAGTTTAAAATAGAATATTTAAAATATTTTGTATTCCAAAAATATAATGCAAAGTACCTCTGAGAACATTGAAAAAATGTATGATTTGAAAAATGTAACTTATAAAGGCAGCTATCTTCCTGCGAGAGTCCTGTTGCCAATGGATTTCTTAACAATCTCTCTTCTGTCCTGGGGTGGGGCCAGGGGTCGGGAGTTTGGCTTCGGAAAATGATTGTTAAAAGTTTCATTATTTAGCAGAAAGTAATCATTTTTACATTTTGTGCAAACCATTTTACATCTTCAGATCATTTAAAATGAGCACTACATACTGTCAGCGTGAATGTAGGGCCTTGAAAGCATTTTGCCGGTTTTTGGTTTTTTGTTTTTGTTTGTTTTTTTTTTTAGCTTGGTTATAAAAGCAATCTCCTGTGTTAAAATGTGTGAATAGTTTGATAATTTGTACACATAATCAAGAGCATCTCAGCTGGACTTTGTGTTGGCTGCTGTATAGAACATGAACAAATGTCAAGGGATAGAAAATTACTTTGGATATTTAAAAGAGAAGAAATATATAGTCTATTTGTTTTGTAACAAGTTTCTGTAAATAAAATAATTTATACTATTTATAAGAAAAAGTTGTGCTTTGCTTTCTGAGAAATTAGTTTGTAGAACAAACATGTTACTAAACAGGCAATAAAATTAGGACTTCTTAATAAATAAGGTTGGTTGCATGAAATATCTTACATGTTTCTGCCTCATTGTGATGCTTAAACCCTTTTTTCCTTTTTTTTTTTTTTTGGTTTGTTTTGGCGCCACATCTGGTGGTACTCAGGGCTTACTCCTGGCTCTGAGCTCAGGGACCAGTCAAGGGGTTCCCGGGACCATATGGAATGCCAGGGATCAAACCCAGGTCAGCCCCCTGCAAGGCAAAGGCCCTATCTATCCACTATACTATCATTTCGGCCCATACCTGTTCCATCTAGTCTGACTTCTCGTCTTATAGTCTCCATTTTTGGCCTAAAGACATCTTCATGATCTTTTTGTTAGCGTCCCTTTTCTACAAGCATAATACTTCTAAGGGCTTCAAGATGTTAAGCTTTGGTTTGGAGAACTTAATTTTGTAAACAGTGACCCACACGACATTCCTGTGCTGCCAGTTTGGGAAGGAAACAAAGAAGAGTTGATAGACGGAGAAACACATTCTGTTTGGACTGGCTTATATATAAATCTAACTCTGTGTGGTCAGTTTTGGTCAAAGGTAGGTTATGTATGATCTCTTCTTTGATTGCAATACCCTATGTACTGGCAGTAAACTTGTATTTTAGGAATAGAACACAACATAATCTTTCATCTCTATGAATTTGGTCTGTTTCACCCTTTGAAAGCATCGGTGTATTAAATTTTGAAGTTATTTTTGTTTTTACAAAAGGAAGCAAATGTATTGTGCATGGGAGAAAATTTTTATGCCTACCATGGTGTCCATCCCCTTGGCCCCATGGACTCCTTCCATTCCCTCCTAATAACCTTTATCTTGGGTGTGTTCACAAATGTCTCAGTCAGGAAAAGGCTCATTCACACAATCTTTCACTTTTTTTTTTTAACCCCCTTCCTTTACAGGTAACTTGTTCTCATGGATAACAAGAGGAGATCCTAATTTGTTCAAGGAAGGTGGGGATAGCAATTTTTGATCTGACATAAGGTTATTTATTCTAGGCAAAGGGAGGAAACAAGACAAGTATAGGTGTTAAGAAAGGACTGGAAGAGCCAGAGAGAGAAAGCGGGAGTAAGTAGGGCACTTGCCTTACACAAGGTTGACCAGGGTTTGATCCCCAGCA